ATTAGGGTTCTAGGCGACGCAAGTGTCGATTCAAAGCGTTAGAATTCGATGAACTGAGTCAAAACGATGGATAGAGTTGGCTACAGAAGAGGAGTAAAATCTTTTTGCCAAAGGTGAAAATGCCAAAAAGGTCCGTAGTGAAAGCATTTTCAGAAACAAGCGGAAATGTATCCATTGCCACATTTGTGACAGATATTCGGCGGGAATTTGTCAATTTGTCACGACACCCGACATTATTCAAGGAACCACATGAATAGAATGATTATTTCGTGGATCCGCACAGGCTGGGTTCCCACAGGAGGCCCTTCGCGCGGCGAGAAGGCACAGACGCAGACGGTCAGCGGACGAGTTGCAGCGCGTACTGCAGTGATTTCGCGTCAAGTTGAATAGAATGTACATAGTACGTCCCACATCACACAGCACGCGCTGCGACTCGTCCGCTGACCGTCTGCGTCTCTGCCTTCTCGCCGCGCGACGGCCCTCCTGTCGGGTACCCACACAGGGTACTACTTGTCACAAATCGATATGCAAAGCCCCTAATGAGAAAGGGAATGTTATACTTCGTGGGAAAAATGGTGAGCTCATCTTCTTATTTCGAATGTTTTCCGTCCGCACCTTATTGGAGGTCAGGAGTACTAGGAGGGAAGAGATGTTTGATAGGGTAGTGAGCAATTCCTGGGTTGGATACCTTTTCTTACCTCTGGAAGCCATGGTAGAGGTCGAAACTGCGCTGGAAATGTTTTTTTCCTAAGAAACCTATGGCAGAGCTACAAAACCCAGCAACAGTGAGCACTTTAAAACGAAGATAACTCGGAAAGTACCGATTAACCTTATGAGATTTCGATATTCCTTGTTTTGGGACGTCCTCACCCTAGTTTTGCGCCCGATTCTTTTCACCCCTGGCCCAAGTGTTAACTAAAAAGTTATTAGTGAAATCAATAAGTTTAAAAAACCCACGGCGAACACCTGAATGAGAAACACATTGATGATGACCGCTAGCATTACCAACAAAGGCGAAAGTAGCCCGAATAGCCGATTGTTTTCCCGGATCGCCTGGTCAAACACAGAAACAACCGTTTCAACTCGTTTTTTCTACTCGATCTACATGCCACGAAAAACTCGTCTGGAGCGAGGATTCGTCTGCTGTGCAATGCAATTCGAAGCTATGTATTTCATCTTCATTGTGATAAGACAGAACAGAAAAAATCTACTAGGCTGATGGCTCTTCAAAATTCTCCGGATTTGTCCAGTATTTGTTGAGAGGTCGTCTTTCCGCCAAACTTCGCTTCGGCTTTCCGCCTAGAAAACGGTGAAATTGTCACTAAATTATTAAAAATATCAAAGGGTTACTCGGTCGCCACCTTTTCAAAACTGTTGAGGGAGAGAACCTAAAAGCGCTGGATCCACTAGAGGACCACACCTTGGTCAACAGTCGTATATGGCCTAATTCAGATCTACGACCTCTCCGCCGATCTCCGTGATTACTGGTGTTAGTGATGCCGTGGAAAGCTAGGACACCCTCAACCTGACGCCCTTAGCTCCGTTTCCCTCCCCCTTCTCCAGCTCCCAGCCCAAAAATCCTAGAATCCTGAAGTGCATTGAGCAAAGGAGGGGTGAGAGCAGTTCCACCTCCCTCTCCCAAATTCGCAATACACCACAGTACCTCCTCCTCCCCACCCCTCCCCTTCCCCCCTCCTTGCCTGAGTGGGTTGGACAGACGGCTAACTTTGCCCGCACCCTGCTTAGCTACTCAAAACCATCCTCCGGTCATATGGCCATTGATGATTTCCTACCAAAGCACATCAGAAGAGTGAGAGCGGTCACCCAGGCCTACTGGCGAGCCATGGCTGCCTTCATGGTTTTGAGTGTACGTTCGAACGCCTCACCATCTGCTTTCCAAGCATTGCTGGGATCGGAGCGCTAGATAAAGGCGGATTTTACGATTGAAAGGCACGTCGGAAATAAGGGCAGGAGGTGCTCACTGAAGCATGGGGATGCAAGAATAGACCAGAGGACGTGCCTCATTCCTCTTTTAATAACGGGTAACATTTTCGCAAACATGTTCTGCTGGTACTTCTCATAGACGTACCGAATTTCGACAAAGAAACAGCGTTTCATATTTTCGAAGACGTCATAACATGGAAGATATGAGGTGTCGAGGGCGGTGAATCTGTAATAGTAGCTTACAACTTCTTGGAGAATCGCGATAAATACATATTGGAATAGGAATGTATTACACGGTTTCAAACTTGGTGAAACTAATAGAACCAAATTACCAAGATTTACCTTCCAGAAAAGCATGACATTTCGGGGCATTATGATTAGCCACGGAGATGCGATGCTGCCGCACCTCCTCACGAAGGTCAACCCTCCGTTCGCACTTTTCGAACGAGGAAGCCGCATTTGGGAGGAAGCGGTCGCATTTTGTGATGAGCAAGGTTGTCATAGTGGGAAAGGAACTCATGCACAGAGTTCAATCACACTTTTACGTTTTTCTAATGGTTTATTGCCAACTATAAAAATTAGTCTCATTCAACACTTTTTCCTCCCTTCCTTACTGAAGAGCACGGAGGGAGGGTATTTTTCCAGTTTGGCTTCCGTCTAAGGGCACGTGCGAAACGGAAGTCGAACTAATTTTTGATTCCTCCCCCCTGAAAAATTTCTAATCCCTATGTTTTTGCTCAACATTGACTTGTATTTGCTGTTTAGACGGAGGTTTTGTGAAATTTGGTGAAAGTTGCTAAGAAAAGTATCGTGTCGCTGAATGTATGACAAAGTTGGCCAGGATTTGGGCTTTGCCCCTTCATGATACCAATTTCTCGTTCTCCCCCCCCCCCGCCGCCACGAAGAGCCAATTGTGAGCGAAAATAGAGGCGATGGATGAGGGTGGCGGTCGGAGAAGAGGGAAATGGGATTGTATTGGGGGAGCCTTCCTGAGACTGATGGTGACGGTGGGCGTCGCATTGAGATCCCCTGAAAGGGGGGGGGGTCGCCGATTTTTCGAAAAGTGCGAACGTGACAGTTGACCCTGCCTCCCCTCATTGCTGCGATCTTCGTTTTTCAAAGCGTCAAGAAGCTTCAGATGCCCTTCTGCTGTGCTCTTATTACTCCACACCTAAGTTTTCTCCTTTTCAATCGCGTGCACCAGAAAGAAGGGCATTTACACGCGCACAAAATCAATGCCTGCATGACTGCCTTGTATTGAGCCAAAGCTTTAGTTTATAGCTACATATAGCTCATGCAGATGCGCGTACAATTCTGAAGAGGTCGAATGCGTGCGTACACCTGAAGGAATTGCACATCAGGAAGTTTTGATTTTTTTGTCTCTAAAAATCCCATGTGGCGCGTACGATGTTCGGTCTCTGGTCACAGAATGTTAGGCATTTTTCTCCTGCTGCCGTGTTAGCTACACCGCTCCTTCCGCAGCACTGAAAAGACTTTTAGGCATTCGGTGTGCAAAACCGAAGTTGATTAAAAGGCCGGAGGACCTCAATAGAACCTTACAAGGGAGGTCTTTCAGGGCAAGGTGCGCTTTTTCAAAACGGTTTTGTGCATATTGTAGGGACGCATGTAGGGAACGCAAAACCATGTTTCATTTTCGCTGAACGGTTATAGCAGTACCAAAAAAGAAGCATAAGGTACTGTTAAGGGTTCGATCCCCCGTGGCGACTAAATTTTGCATTTGGGTTGGCGCCTACGGTTTGGTGCCAAATCGCGCTAAATATCAAAATCAGATGTCAAATTCATCGTCAGGACCATTTTGAAGCCAACAAGTGGCCGCCAACCTTGATTGCAAAATTTAGTCGCCGCGGGGGATTGAACCATCAAGAGTATATTCACCACTTTTTTGGTACTATTAGGTTGGAAAGAAAGTCCTGCAACACTTTTTCAAATTTTTGATTTTAATTTTATCTTTTTTGGTTACAACTTCTGACCGGTCTTATATCTACCATGAGTGTCCACCACTTGTCTCCATCGCTCAGAAAATTTCTTGATCCTCCTCTGCCAAAACCCAGCGGAGTGCGAGTCGAGAAAGGAGGCGACCTCACTTTCGAGTTGGAGTTGATCGTCTGATTATTTCGTTATAAAGATGATGATTAAAGGTCCAGGATAGGTAGCACTTATTTACAGCTCGACCAGGGGATTACGCTAAGAGAGGAAAGAAATCTTGCCGCAACTCCAGAATTTCTTACCGGGCTCATTTCGGATCATGGTGATTCGCAATGTCATGAAAGAAATGAATATTGTCGCGGTACGAGGGCTCTTGACGAGCTACCTCGGCCAGCTTCTGGTACTTCACAACCTAGGCCACTGCCTACACAATGGTGCCCATAACGAAGGGTATGTAGTGGAGCTTCTGTAAGAGCCCTACCTGTAATGGAGTGTGAGGGATGCTGCTGGCTTCTTATAAAAATATCAAAAGATCGGAAGCGCTGGTAAAGGTGAAACACGCTGTATCGCTGAACGGCATGCCATTAGAAGCTATTGCAGATAGTGTCAGTCGTTGACACGAATCCATGGTTTTGTAGACATTTGTACTAGACAGTGACTCGGAGTACGGATTTGCTAGTGGTCGAGATTTTTTGAATTTTCTTGGATAACTACTGACTGCAGAACTTATATCCACCTCGTGGATTGAAGCCTTGAGAATGCTCTATCATTTGGTAGTCATAAATGTTACCTATGAATTTTTCAGAAAAAAAGAAAATTTTGGAAAGAGTGTTGCAGAACTTTCTTTCCAACCTAATACTAAAACCGTTCAGCGCGAAAACGAAACATGGTTTTGTGGTCCATACATGCGTCCCTACAACATGTACTAAACCGTTTCCAAAAAGCGCACCTTGCCCTGGAAGACCTCCCTTGTAAGATGCATTTGGTACGGGTCAGTTTACATTACAATAGATAAAGTTGTTAAGAAATCGTATAAAGAAATTTTAACAATAGTCCTATTATTAAGAAGACAAGTTTTTGAAAACCTATATCCAATGATTGCAAATACGTTAAACCTGTGTATGATCCATTCCTTGAGCAGCACAGTAGTGCATCTCGTGAGCAGCTTCAAGAGGACAAGCATCATTCTTGTAAAACATCTGTTCCAACTGAAAACACAACGGTTTTATATTTCCAATAACGTTTCTTCCCGTTTCCTTTTTTATTTGTTTTTGATTTGTTTTAACATTCAATGCATTGAAGCGGGGGTACACAAAGTACAGTCGGGGGTTGAGTGACCAGTTTATTATAAGGGAAGGTTATGAGGAAGCGTTGAAAAAGAGACGAGATAGAGTAGGACTGGAGTAAGACAAGGATGTACACCGGAGCAGTAACAGCCATTACGACTTGTGAGTTGGCACTTAGATAATAGGACCTATTTAGTGCCGAAGTGGCGCAGTGGAACAGGTCGTTGCACTAAAACACGCGTACGTTTCGCGGGGCAATCTCAAATCGATCGACTTAAAGCAATTACCCTTTTTACCTCATTCCATCTCTCTCTAACTAAGGCTTCCACGACGACGCCCTCTTCATTTTTTGGTGGAAAGGGCGCGTCCTGCTTCCCCCTCCCCTCATATCTGCGAATTTTTGTGTAATATTATTTTTCTTTTTTTTTTTCTGCTAATTAAAGAGCAAAAGAGATAATAAAGGATAAAGGATAAAGCATTTGCCGTTGATCAATCCCTTTTTGGGATGCGGCACGCATTCTACTTCCATTTGTACATTCGTAGTGGCGTTTGAATGCGATGTGGCCTATACAATGACTTTGGGGGCCAGCCGATGTACAAGTCAGTTTTTATCCTCCCAGACAAGTCTGGTACCAATTAACCGACCCCGGAGGGATGGAAGGCTTGGTTGGCCCGGGCGACTCACGACCCAGGATTTGATCCCCGGACCGCTCGCGTGGTGAGCGTGCCACTTGCCACTACACCACTTCCGCCCTACACCACTTCTGCAAATTCGGTAAACTATAATGCGTCAGTAATTCTGAATTCTGAATCATTAGAGATATGCAAAAATTTCGGCAAACGGTTGGTAAATGTATTGGCTGGCTAGCCATATGGGCTGCCATGAATGTGCTGAACTTCAACTCTACCCTTTCCCCGGCAGGCGACTAAATGGTACCAAGCCGATCGATGCTGTAGAAAAACATGACTTCGTACGACCATGGCCACCGCAAGCCCCGGTATCGGCATAGACCGTGTCGCATTTGAATGCCAGTACAGTTCTCAATGGAAGTGGAATGCATGGCTCATCCCAAAAAGGATGACGCAACGCCGGAAGTTTCATTTCTTTTCATCCATGCGTATTAAAAAAAGAAAGTTGTTTCATAAAGTAGTACTTGAAATCTTCGTCGTTTACAACTTTCCCATTTTTAAAGTGCCATGACAAAGATTTCAAAAGAAAACTCTTACCGAGCTCGCGGTGTAAGAGTTGAAGTGGCAGTATCGAATACAAGCGTCCGGAAGACCTCTGGCTTCGCAACATGTGCGGAAAATGAAATTCGGATTCTGAAAGAGAAGTTCTAGCTGGGATTCCATCGCGTCCACTGATCCCTTCCCCTCCTATCTTACCGTCAGTTTATCATTTGTGAAATTTGTGGCGAAGGTGATCGATTTCGGGTCCAGTGGGAGAGTGTGCGCCTCTTCGGCGTTGTCGTCTCCAACTATCACTCCATCCTGAATGGGTAGATCTTAGTAAAAGACATCAGAGATTCTGACGTGAACGACTTACGATTCTGGCTGTCAGCGCAGAAAGCGCCTTTCTTCTCATACAACCGTAAGCGCCACATTGATAGCCTTGCTGACATCCGCTTCCACAACTGGCCACTGCCGGAGGGGCCGATCTTTGCTGACAGCATCCGGACCCTCCACCACACTGAAATTTGAAACTGCACTGGAAGGTTCGCCTTCCAAAAACTTGTAACAAACCGCATTGAGGTGATGAGTCAACGAGAGGACAGCGATGAGAAGAGTGATCATCGTCGAGCTGTCGAAGGCGATTCAGGCTCATCGTGGAGATTTATAGAGCTTCAAACGGATCTTCTTGAAGGAGCTCGAGTATGACTAGCCCAAACGCGCTGAGTAATTACTCGAATAGGCGCTAACTCGCTCTCAACAACTGCCACAACACCCTCTTGACTCGAGTCGCATCCGTAATTGTGACGGTATAAATGTGGAGCGGTAAATCGCCCTCGCATCGTAACCATGCTCCTCAAAATTATCGTCGTACTTCTGGCCCTCGTCACTCTATCTTCAGCCGTAAGTTCTTAATACCCAATTGGGGAAGATTGAAAGACTTCCGTATTCTTTTCGTTGCAGTGCAGATCAAACGGAGCATGCGGCTGCTGTGGATGTCGGGCAAAGGCGAAAGCTCGAGCTGCCAACACCAACCACATCGTAAGTTCAGCTTTGACGACTTTTTAAAGTGAACTGAGGCGTCTTGGTTGACCGC